CGGCCACAAACTTCAAAAGCCGTTTTTTGAAAGACTTCATGTTAGCGAAGTCATCTTCCAGGAAGAGTAGAGCTTTTTCGGAATTTGACCGGGACCAAGGGCAGGGAGGGGGGAGCTGGGCACGGGGGTAGGGTCGGGCGCACAGAAACACGGGCCAAATTGCATCCAGCGACTAAGGAGGGGCGTGGGGATGGAGGGGGCGGGGAAAGCAGAGCCGGGGCTGGGAACAGCTGTTTAAAAAAGGGTGAAAGCGGGAAGAGGGGGGTGAGCTGGGCTGGAACTACTGTTGGGGAGAGGGGACCTCGCCCCACCAAAATTGAATCCAGGAAGAGCGGAAGAGGGCCAAGGGGAAGGGGCGGGTGAAGCAGAGGAAGGTTCAGCTGGGCTGGGAACAACTGTTGGGGAGAGGGGGCGAGGCGGCGCAGAGGGCTTCACTGGGCGCTCGCCCCCATAACGGGGTCGGCGGATCTGCACAGCCCCATTGCATGTTTTGCTGACTTCGCTGTATGGCTGCAGGGTTTGCCTGGGAGGTAGCGCAGGGTGTGCGCGCTGACATGTGCGAACAATACTAGCAGCTAGCAGACTGGACGACGGAAAATTAGTATGGGCAAGCACCGCCAGGTCCAGCGGGTGCTTTTGTGCTGATGAGAAACAGGTGTGAAACGTATTGACTCAGCCTCTGCATCATGTGGTGACTGACTAGACCGAGTCTGAGCTTGTGTTCCTCTCGTTTCCCGGCAAAGTATGTCATGTAACTTGCTCTCGCGTGACGAGGTCCAACACATGCCCCAGAAGTAAGTCCGTTTCACTTGCAGGCCGCCGGCAAAAGTTTTCAAACATTTGTCGAGCATGTTGTTGGTATGCAGCATGAGAACGGGTTGGCCAAGTCTAAACAAATGAATTATACTGTCGTCATGAGACTCAGTCGCGGTATGGGTCGACCTCGCATGGCTACAGTCTCCGTCGGCCAAGGGTCAAAGATTTGGACACCAAAGGAGAGCTGACAGACGTCATGCAAGGAGAGGATGCCTCTCGGCCAAAAGAGCTATCGCTGAAGGTAAGTGGAGAGAGATGCAATCCCATCCATTAGACATCGCAGATGTGCTCATGAGGCCAGCAGCAACATGAACAGCTTCAAAGATAAATGCTTTCAGGTAAAGCTGATTAAAACCGCGCATGTGTAAGAAATCAGGCAAAGTCTGAAGCTGTGGTCGCTTTGTCTGCTCTTACCTGCCACAGATGTGCCAAGGTACTGGACCTGATCAGAAGCATCTCGTTGGCACGCAGGTTTGCTGCACTTCTTAGTTATATGCCGACCCTGGTTGCAGCAGAGCTCGCTGATGCGGACCGCCTGCCTTCGCTTAAAACACGGCCCTCAACTGCTGAGGCTTTCTCGACTAGACTTGTGGAGGCAGAGCTTCGGTGCTCCAAGAAAACTCTTGATTGCAGCGTGCTGCAGACAGTCCGACAGCTTCGTTATTTTGCTTCCGTGTTGATACCATCCGGTGGAAAGGTGTGTAGAAGGGAATGGCCGAAGTGGATTTCCTGCGTCATGAATGAACAGGATCGGCTTTCCCATCGTCTCACAGCTCGAAACCTAGCAATGCAAAGTAGTATGGTAAAATCTCAGTGCGACAGGGGTCTATGTGCTTGGATAGGGATGGACATGCGCGTATTCCAGCCTTACAGTTGTGTACAACGGCAAGCATCGTTTCACTATGTCCGCGATTTTCAGCCGTGTGTGTGATCGGAGACAAAAATGGTTTTGGAGTGCTGCCGCCTGTAGGCATCGAAGGAGCCCAGGCAATGCATGCATCTGGTGCACTCAGTTCCCTTGACAAGTAACCCTGTAGAGACACTTGCTATTTCAACCATGCACGACTTGGGCATCGTGGGGTTAGGGTTCGGGATCAACTGGAATAGAGCGAGAGCACTGTTTCATTGGGTGTGGTAGGATTTCAACTCAGCGAAGGTTGTATGGCAAAATGTGGCAAGCATATGGGATTTATCAAACTAAACGTTTTAAAGAACACCGCCCAAATCTCAGAAGATACTTGTACCGATGCTGCGGCGGTTGCAACCGGTGCTCTAGCATGAGCTACTAACTAGAAGTCTCTCAACCATACCCACAAGCCTCGCAAACCTACAAAGCCAACATACACCCGAGAACTCCAAGCCTGAATTAGACATGCCATCAACATACCTCGCACACGTAGGCGACGCAAATGCATTGTTCCGTCTCGACGTGATCCGGGGGTTCGAATTCAATTGGAGACGGAAGAGATTGCGCAGGTTTCTTACAAGCTTACCCTTTGAACTAACTTCTAGCCCAAACAGTTCGGAGCTTCGGTGAGGTTGCAAACTTAAACGCAAAGAACGTCTTAAGCAAGAGCAGCTTCTGCGCTATGTCCAGTTGCGCTCTCCGAGAAGAGAACAACCAAACGAACAGCTGATGCAACCCCGCACATCCCCACCCTAATACCAGATGTCCCATTGTGTCATGCTCTGCTGTGTTGGGAATTTGGGGGTCGGGAGGTTCCTTTGTCCAAGAAGTATGCCGAAACCCGAAACCTGATTGAGCACTTTGGGTGTGGTCGACTAGGATTTAGCAGGGAATGGAGATTCAGCTCCTAGATTGCTTGATCCTTATAAGTACATTCTGTGAAAAAGTTTCATAATCCATGTCCAACCCAACCAAGCTGTGACAAAAAAGATTGTGAGCCATCCGCATAAGCTACAACTTGGACCGCTCTGGCTCAAAAAGCCGGAGACCCTGGCTTGACTTTTCTCCAGCGGCTAAAACAGCTGGTTGGGGGAGTCCAGGTTTTCTTGTTTGGGGTTTAGGATGTAAGGTTTACGGCTGTACGTAGCTGTAGTCTTGCTGTCAGAGGGGTGGGAACTGAGTGCTGGCGGGACAACGACAGGACAGGAGATTCTTGGAGAGATCCAAAACCCCAAGGAACAAGCAGGTTGTAGCCAGGAGTATCGAAAGCAAGCAGACTACTAAACTGTAAAATCAAGCCTAAAGAAGAGTCAAGAGCTGTGCCCATGTCCTGCTGCCTTGCTGGGAAGTCTCCGACGCCGCTGGAGCTCTACGCGAAGTCGCTCCCCCTGGATGCCGATGCCACCCGGCGGTGGGATTGGGGGTTTTGGAGTCCAGGGGACATGTCTCCGCTTCAGGGCTAGAAGTAGGGGTGCTCCAATTTGGGTTTACCGTACTCATAGATTTCCACCGCACCTACTTCTTACTGTAATCCCCCCCACCCTGCAAGTTGACAACAGGCTCATGTGGAATGAGACATTTCCGATGGGTCCTGAGTTGCGATGTGCATTAGGCCGTGCCCACGCTGTTTCCAATGTACACCGTCGCCGCCGACCTGCTGCTGAAGATGACGAAGCTAGATCGCATCTGGATTTCCTGTTCCGTGATCTGGTTCAGAATTTTCTTGCCCCTAAACGCCGGAAATCACCCGATCTCGTCTTAGAATGTTCCCGAAATCGCTATTATGCGAGTCTGGAAGTACTGCCACAAGATTGAGGAATGTTTTGCTTTGTGTTCGCAGGACGCTCCTGGGTTAAATGGGGTGAGTGCACGTAGGGGCTTTCCCCTTCAGGGGATGCTAGCAATTCGGACCATGGGTCATATCACAGCTGCACAGGAAGGTGGAGCCTCACGAGAAGTTGAAGGCCGGGGCCTGTCAGCCTTGGTTCGGAAAGGAGACGCGTAGTCAAGCGTAATCCCTTGAAGGTCGTTCTGAAGCCAAACAGTTCTGGGCACCCCCGCTCCGCCCAGCCAGTGGAAGACGTTAAAAAAGCATTCCCGTGATTCTGTAATATATACATATATACATGTATATATGTTTAGTGTTTGCGTGTTGTTATCGGTGGCGGGGACTACACTGTCGGGCTTCACAGCATGAGAACAATATGCAGGGCGATGCGGTGTTTCAAGGATTCTTCGGGTGCGGGCTTATCCTGCACGGTGAACATGAGGCCTAGCCCAGGCCAAGCCTTCGACGAAGCCAAAAGAAGGGGCGAAAGGTCAGGAAACCCTCCAGAATCCTCAACACGGGGCTACTTCGACAGGTGAAGTGCCAAAGGTCCTGAACCCCAAAGACCGGACCCCAAGCTCCAGAACAGACAGGTGAACTCAAGATCTCTCGGAAAAATGAAAAAACAAACTATCGCAAGGTAATGTTCCATAGTCTCTTCTGGTTTGATAGTGACAGTAGAGTGAAAGTCGGTCGTGGCAGGTGATCGGAAAGATTGTCCCCGGAATCCTTAAAACCGGTAACGTGCCCGATTGCAACCATGGTGGTTTGGGACCATCCCAGGGTGGTAGCACTGCGACGACAACTCGTAAACATGGGGTTTAGCGCGTAGGCTTGGCTAAGGGATCTGTTTTGAATGCTCAGAATGTACCGTTTTTCCATTCTTTTGTTCAGAAGGAAACCACCGAAACCTGCCAAAACTCCATGGTCATTAAGGCGCTCTTTCTCCTAAACCCCCCTAAATCCCAAAGATTGGATCCCTGGGCCCGAAACTAGACAAACAATTGCTGGCGGTAGCAGGCTCGGGGCGAGCTGGTCGTTTTTGCTCCCGGCATCGGGAAAGCCGCCTTCGTATCACACCAATGGCTTAGCAGGCATCACCCTGACCCCGACTTCAGGCAGACACGCACCTAGGAACTGTTATGGAGCAGCCCTTCTCCCTTGCCCACGATTTTGGGGCTTAGGGCTTCCATTCAAGGCGTGTAATCTGTAGAATCGCCATAACCCCGTATCCGCTCGGCGTTTCGGAGTTTTTCGGCTGTGTTGTTAAAAAGCTTCCGTGGGGCGTCACGGCAGAGTTGAGAAGGTTTTTCAAAACTAAAGAAATCTATTGAAAAGCTCCCATGAGGCATTCTTCAGGAAGCCTTGAAACGGCTCCTGCTCAGCTCTGACTCCGTGCCGCTGGATGCGGTTACGGAAGGCTTAGTACCCAGCGCCAAGCCACTTCCTATGAAGGCCTTTCAGACAGAGCCTCTCTTCCTCTGGTATGACTACATCTCCTGTCCTCAGTTGGAGCGTCGGAAGTTTTATGCCGCTGATCCAAGTGATGGTAGTAATCAAGCCAACGCCATCAACAGCATTCCAGGCTACATTACCAGATGCCATTTCTTTTTAGCTTTGTGTCCGACGCTGGATTGCCCCTGGGAGGGCAAGGTTCTGTCTGCTTTGAGTTGGAGTAGGAGGGGGTGGTGCAGGGTGGAAAGGGCCGCGCGCGAGCTGTCCGACAACGGCAACTGGATTCTTGTGCAGAGCGGCGCAGCTATTGAAATGGTAGGCACCGCGATTTCTTTCGTGCCTGGTTCTGTGGGAGAAGCAGAGTTTAGCGTCGCAGAGGATAGGGCAAGGCTTGCACCGGTCATGCGCAACATCGTACTGCAGAAGCTGACGCGCTGCCTCCAGACCGGTGATATGCCAGGTTTCCGGCGCCACTTCAACCTGCAGAGCGTACACCTGCGAAGGCTTGAGATCGAGCCTGTTTGCCTCCTTCCTAGCGCCGACGCAGCTCCTGGTGGCCCGAACGCAGTGACAGAGTTCCTTCACCAGAACGGCTTCAGGAAGGCCGGCAAAGCCGACGCTGCCGGGTGGCGGCCGCTTCACTACGCAGCGCTGGCTGGAAACGTTGAGGTGCTCCGAGGCCTCTTGGAGCAACGTGCTGACGTCAACTGTCGCACTTCGAAGGACGAGCCGGCCTTGGGCTTTCCCCCGTGGCTGTCGGCACTTGACCTGGCAGTCTACTACAAGCACCACGAAGCTACTCGTCTGCTGCTCGAAGCAAACGGTTGTTTGAAGGGTGGAACTGCTCCGGCCATACACTTTGCGGCCATAACGGACAATGCTGAAGGTGCCCGCCTGCTGCGTGCAGCAGGAGGCAACCCGCTGGCGCAGAACCTCTTGGGGTTCACTGCCTTGCAGGCTTCGGCCACCTATGCAGCAATGGCATCAATGGAGGAGATGCTGGCGCATGATTTCCAGAGCCGGCCAGGCCCTCTAGAACTGTCACAGGCTCTTTGGGGCGCTACAGCGTTTCGCGGCGGCTCAGCGGAACTTGTACACCGTCTGATCAATCTGCGTGCAGACATGGACTTCCAGTTCCGCGTGTCTCGTGACTTGAGCTGGCTGGGACGGATGTTCTCTGCAGCCAAGTCTCTGCAGCACAGACTTGCCTCGGCCACCCTTCAAACGGCGTTTTTCTATCATCAGGACGGCAGCACCCCACTCATGCAGGCCATCCAGACGGCCCAATGGGAAGCTGCAGCAGCCTTGATTGCAGCTGGTGCCACTTAACAGACAGAGGAGTTCTTTTTCTAATCCTTTTTGGGACCCATGTTTACTTTCCCAAACCCCTTCTAAGCAGCAGCAAGGCTAGAACAGACCTGCGGAATTCCCGCAACCGCGCCGCAGCCGATTTCGCCAGTGGACAGTCGATCCCGTGCTTCCTGCAGATGGGCTTCTGGGTGGTGATTTGGGATTTGATTTCATTGCCGAGAAAATTCGATGAGCTTTACAACTATATACAGCAGGGAGGTAATCTGGGACGTGTTGTCGATGTCCCTACTGCGCCGGGCCGATAGTTCGACCCACTAGCTTCAACATGCTACAATTGCAAGACATGGACCCCCACCCTCTGCCCCATAGACTCCTAACACAAGTGAGCCTTGGGGCCTCCGCCGGAACTAAAAAGTATTATATGTTTAAAACGGGCTAGTAATTACTCCGCTGGCCTGCGTAGGGCAAACGACACTTCGAAGTACTCCGCTACTCCGCAAGAGCTTGTATGTAAGATGATGCACAAACGGGTCGAAACTTTCGGCCCGGCGATGTAGTGCTCATTCCAAGACCAAGTCATGAATCATGTTGGGGACGGTTTGACGTACAACTTCGGTCACTCTCCCCTGAAATGACAATTGGGAGTGTCCCAAGCCGCAGCCAAGGTATGGACGGCGATCCGGTCGGGTGCAGAAGGGTGTCTGCACTTGCTTTGGCCGACGGCTACGTGGAGGCGTATATGTAAAGAAGGATCAATAGTTACCCCTCAGCATGCGAAATGAACAAAGGGACCCTAAAGGGGCCCCAGAATATTGTTATTTGCTTGTTCTCGTGGTTCGCGGGTCCGTGAGACCTTGGACACGCTGTGGATGTGTTGTTTCAGCGCAGATGTGCAGCAGTTTTAAGAATGTTACCACCGGTGCTCGGGAAAGCTGTTAACTTCGGCTGGAGGGCTTTATTCAGTAGTGCCCGACAGAATAGACAAATGCTCATAACAGGGGATAGCAGACGCATCGGACTGCATCGGTGTGTTAGGTGCATGATGAAGCTCAATCCCAATGGTTCTCCTTTCAGAAAGCGCAAGGACCAGATCCAAGAAAGGCGAGCATAAGAAAAAGGGTCGGGAGGGTGCGTCTTCGTGGAATCAGAAGCGCCATGTAACCGTTCCAGCTAAGCCCTCATTAACCCATGACTCTAGGAAACTTTCGGTCACGATTCATGCTCTGTCCCAGTTGTATCGGAGAGAAGATGGTAAACAGCGACGTTGTGTCCGTTCTCGTTTCCCTTCTTGTGTTTGTGTGACACAACCGCTCCTTCTCCGCTGATGGGCTCCTGACATGTGCCAATTCCACGGCCACCAGACGACGAAAACCGAACACACACCGGAGAGTAGAGTGGGGGGTCAGGGTGTAGCAGGCATGAGACTCAAGAGTTTGCTTGGAGTCTGAGTGTTAAATCAAAATCGTTTGAAGATGTTTTCGAAACATGCGCAGACACGGAGCCGGCTGGGTAGGGAAAGACATCTCCGCTAAGTTTCATTTTACTGAGTTGTGAAAGTCTTGCTGTCGATGCGTGACAAAGGGCACTACCGCAAGTCTCCTCATGAAGAGCCTAAATAGACGGGAAAGTCTCAGCTGTACGCTGATGGTTTATGCCCTGATGCTATTGCCTCTTCAACTGGACGATCGGCGCCAGAGTCTTTGTGACGAGGCTGCACATGGGGTCGATATCATTACTATGCGGTAAACTTTCAAGTCAGCTTCGCAGCACTTCTGTAGTTGAGGGAATTCTTGGACGGATGATCCCACGAAACATCAGGATGTTGTTAACCTCCAAGGCGCTAGCCCCAAAGCCCTGAACTCAGGTGTATGGTCCCCATCAGAGTGCCTTCGACAAGTATCGCCATGCTGTCGCCATCTTTATCAACCAAAGGCTGAGTTTGCAATGGGGAGCTTTAGGGCTGTCAGGGTTCTAAGGGTCCTTTGAGGGTTGATTTAATGGATTTTCGGGATCTATTTGGGTTTGGGTTAAGCCCCCCCCCCCCCCCGAGGGTTTAAGTAAATTGATGTTAGGGTTTAGGGTATTCTTTTGGTTTTGTTGCATGCTGCGGTTGTTGGTGATTGTGTTAATAGCATTCGTTGGGTGTTGTTGGTGTTGAGGGTTTAGTGATGGGGTATATCATGAGGGTTCCGCCTGTGTTAGGGCCTCCAGGGTGCTTTAGGCGCTGTAAGGTTTAATAGGGCTGTTCGGGTTATTTAGGCATTTAGGGTTTGAGGTCTATGAATTCAGGCTTCTATGGTCTGTCGAGAATTTATTCAAGGTCTACTGTGTATTAGGTTTAGGAGCTATTTGCACCGTAGGGTTGATGTTCGAGCTCATTTTGCATACAGAAATGAGGGCGTTTCATTTCACTTTGTTAAATTTCCTTCACTAAGGATGTTGTGGATGTTCAGGCTTTTCGAGGGTGTTGAAAGGTTCTCGAGGGTGTTGAAGATTTTTGCTGGTTCTTGAGGTTTGTTGCAGGCAAGTGTTGAGGGTTTTCGATGGTGTTGTCTGCGGACATCTTTAGTTTTAGAGGGTGTAGAGCTTTGGGTTCTTTTGGGGCTTTGGGGGTCCTGAGGTTTTTGGAAAGTCCAGTAGATTCTTCGGGAGCCCTCCACCAGGCCGGGGCCAACTCGCCAGGATTGAAGGCCCCCGCGAGGGTTTAAGTAAATTGAGTGGTAAGCCCCCGCGAGGGTTTAAGTAAATTGAGTGGTAAGCCCCCGCGAGGGTTTAAGTAAATTGAGTGGTAAGCCCCCGCGAGGGTTTAAGTAAATTGAGTGGTAAGCCCCCGCGAGGGTTTAAGTAAATTGAGTGGTAAGCCCCCGCGAGGGTTTAAGTAAATTGAGTGGTAAGCCCCCGCGAGGGTTTAAGTAAATTGAGTGGTAAGCCCCCGCGAGGGTTTAAGTAAATTGAGTGGTAAGCCCCCGCGAGGGTTTAAGTAAATTGAGTGGTAAGCCCCCGCGAGGGTTTAAGTAAATTGAGTGGTAAGCCCCCGCGAGGGTTTAAGTAAATTGAGTGGTAAGCCCCCGCGAGGGTTTAAGTAAATTGAGTGGTAAGCCCCCGCGAGGGTTTAAGTAAATTGAGTGGTAAGCCCCCGCGAGGGTTTAAGTAAATTGAGTGGTAAGCCCCCGCGAGGGTTTAAGTAAATTGAGTGGTAAGCCCCCGCGAGGGTTTAAGTAAATTGAGTGGTAAGCCCCCGCGAGGGTTTAAGTAAATTGAGTGGTAAGCCCCCGCGAGGGTTTAAGTAAATTGAGTGGTAAGCCCCCGCGAGGGTTTAAGTAAATTGAGTGGTAAGCCCCCGCGAGGGTTTAAGTAAATTGAGTGGTAAGCCCCCGCGAGGGTTTAAGTAAATTGAGTGGTAAGCCCCCGCGAAGGTTTAAGTAAATTGAGTGGTAAGCCCCCGCGAGGGTTTAAGTAAATTGAGTGGTAAGCCCCCGCGAGGGTTTAAGTAAATTGAAGTCGTTGACCCCCGCGAGGGTTTAATTAAATTGAAGTCGTTGACCCCCGCGAGGGTTTAAGTAAATTGAAGTCGTTGACCCCCGCGAGGGTTTAAGTAAATTGAAGTCGTTGACCCCCGCGAGGGTTTAAGTAAATTGAAGTCGTTGACCCCCGCGAGGGTTTAAGTAAATTGAAGTCGTTGACCCCCGACAGGGTTTAAGTAAATTGAAGT